GCCCTGGCTGCGGGGCAGGGGAACACCCGGGGCGGGCGGCCAGCTGCGCGTGCCGGGGAGGAGGCAGCCTCCTATTTATCCCCGCTCCGTCTGCACACACCCCGCACGGAGGCCCAGGCCGTGGTCTCGGCAGCCTCCACGCGGCTCCCACCCACATTGCCCCACACCCATACCCACACCCAAGGACATCTTCGGGCTGCCCTCGGGCCGGCTCACCCGCTCCCCCTGCTGGGTCGCACCTGACTGTTCGTTCCCCTCCCCCTTGGGGAGTCTGCGAGGTGGGTGGGAGGGGCGAGAGAAGCCACGTGGAGGGGTGTCAGGTGCGCGGGACCGGCCTTGGAAGTCACGGAGGAAGAATCACAGACCCCGGTGTGTTCTGGAATTCTGACTTTTGGGGACGCCCCCCAGATCCACGACGACTGCAGTTAACCTCTAGCATCTATCTACCTGTAGTTTATGTTTTGGTTCGCATGCAGGCCTTTTCGAAAGAGTCATTGTGGTCTTTTAAAATCTTAGTGCCTTAGTTGTCAGTGTGCATTGTCTTCTAATAATCTGTTTAGGCTCACCGGGATCTCCTTTAAATGTTTCACTTATATTTTCATTTATTCATTTACTCATTGATTCTCTATATTTTCATTTGTTTAATGCATTTACTCTACCTTTTTTTCAATTTAATTGGAGCTGTACAGATAAGGAAAACGTATGTTGCTTGTGTCTTACCAAGCCCTATCTCCACTTCCCATACCTCCGCTTTATAGAAAAATGCATTCTAGTGGTTCAGCACCAAGCAATTTCCAGAATACAAAGACATCCTCACAGCTCTCAAAGAAAGAAAGTAGCATCCAATTTTACCTTATGTGGTTAATGTATTTGCTTCCCAAGTAACTAAAAGGTACAACTGTTTTTGTGCTGCTCTGTGTTCCTCTTGCAAGATTAATATGTGAATTATGCCCCATTCTGTAGAGAAGTTGTATTTCTATAATATCCAAAAGTCCAATAAGCATTATTTTACATATGAAATGCAGTTCCAGTGTCTGCTTCTTTCTCCCCATCCTATTGTTTAAATAAATTATTATGCACATTTTTCCACAAGTGACATTTCATTTCAAAACCAATTCAAATTATTTTAGTGCCCAGGGAACTGATATATCCAGAGAAATAAAAATCAACTCTTAATTTTCAGAATTCCATTCTGAAAGCCCTACATGACAGCTCATAAAGCATTGGTAGAGCGGGCAGGCATGGGGTTTAAAGAAACTCAGGGTCATGGGATAGAAGGTTACTGCATCCAAGATAAAAAGAACAGAGGCCAAGGAAATCAAAGGAGGTGGGCATCACCTTTCTCCCTCTCAATGCTTCTACTCTTCCTTTTATTTTTCCTTTCTGATATTCTTTTCATCTTTTAGTGTCTGTGCCCGAAGGCATCTCTCATTCCAAGATGGCACCCTAGCCCAACCAGCAGCTGTCCTGTTAGCCCCAACAGAATGCTATGATTTTGCTTTCCTTTTTCATGGATACTAATATAAAATAAAGTCCACCTAAACAAAAAGTGCTAAATGTTTGCTGAGTTCTGTAAAGTACCAGGACTTGATGTAAGTATTCAACATTCATGCCATTCAAATGGTAAATTAACTTTTTCAGACCACTAGAGTATGAAACAGTGTAACTTAATATATAAACTAGGACAGAAAAATTAATAACCTTCCCTGAGGGTTTTACTTACCTCTACAGGTAAAATATGTATGCCTGAGAATATGCCTTCCAAATTTTCTGGCCTCAGAGATCCAATCTCTTCAAGGTCAAGAGATACTTTTTTTTTCTTTCCTTTCCTTCCTTCCTTCCTTCCTTCCCTCCTTCTTTCCTTCCTTCCTTCTTTTTCCTTCCCTCCCTCTCTTTCTTTCTTTCTTTTTCTGATATTCTTTTTGTCTCTCTACTTCCTTTTTTCCTTCCTTTTTCCCTTTCCTTCTTTTTTGTCTCCTCTCCATTCTCCCCCCTCCCTGTCCTCCTCTTCTTTATTCTTCATTCTCTCCCTCCCCCATTTGCTTGCAGAGCAAGGTAAATCTGTAATCCAATCATTAGGCTTTGAAAGACTAGAAAGTAAATATTGATCTTCTTTGGATTGTAAGCTGAGCTTTACTGAGAGAAGAATAGATCAAAGTGATACCACAGTCACAAGGTGGAGCTTGTATCCTCAGTATCCCCAAGGTAGGAATTGCTTGAATGGTGCCTTTCCTGTGCCAGGTTTAGGCAAGTATAGCCGGTTCTCCCAAATCTGGTATGAGGCTTAAGTAGATTCCTTTGGAGGGCCTTGAAGCACCAGCCTTTTTCTCTTCCCACACAGAGCAGCCTCAAGCAGACATGTTTATTCACCTCCTCTGGACAGGACACAACAAACTTGTAGCTACGTGTGGGACACAACATGCAAACAGATACACATGTGGTGATGGGAAGGAAAGTTTTGGAATGTATTCATTCTAGGTCAACATGTATTCTCCAAATTAAAAACTTTAAGGCATTCAATAGTATAGGAACATTTCCTAGTGGCCATTGGCATTATTTAATTTACCAAAAATAGATAAATTAAAATAGTAAAAGACTTTTTAAAAAGTATGAAGCCCTATAGTAATTATAAACATCATGCATTGCAGATTATTAAAAATTAGTGACCACTAGAGTAGATACAGAGCGAATGTTCAAATATCCTATTTGAAACTATTGAGTTAAGGAAATATTAATAAAAATAAATCACTGCTCAAAAGCTGTATTCTGATAATTTAATTTTACAATCTAATTTTTCTGAGAAGAGGACTATTTTATTATCATCCACTTTGTTGGATCTTTCTTTAAGGGGATCCTTCCATCCTAAATCCGTTTGACTTGTTATTTTTTTAAATGGTAGCTTAATATATATATTTAATACATTTCAAACATAAAACCGTCTCTGTGACATTACACCTGGTTATTTCCATCATGATTTGGACTTCAAAAAGAAACTTCTGATTAAAAAAAACAGAACAAATAATAAACAAATACAAACTTCTGGGCTTTTGTGCTGGCCCTAAGGTTATAGGTTAAGCAAGCAAGCACCCATATGTAACTATAATGCTATCAAATGGCAATGCCCTAAACATCTCTCCCTAACATACCTGTCACAGTGGCTTCATCTTTTCTTACATGGTCCAAGAGTCCCATCAGCGTGAACACTCCTCTGGGAGGGATAGCAGAGCTAGAATTCGATGTGTAACTGGTTTGGGGGCCTGTTTAGTTTGTCCAAATTGGAGCTGTGTCACCAAAAGGCTGAGTCACAAATTACTTACTTCTCTGAGCCTCGGTTTCCTCATCTATAAAGTGTGATAGTAATGATTTGCACAGTTTTTATGATTCACAATAATGTAAGGAAAAAATTCTGACACCTAGAAATTATTCAATGAATTAGAGTTGTTATTAAATTGTACAGTGTACATGGAGAGAGCCAATAGAGAGTGCCTTCCTTACTATCCCTTTCTTACTAATAATGGAGATGAAGGGAAAGAAACCCTGAGCTAAAATTGAACAGATTTGGGCACTGTCTTTGTCTTTCCATACTCCCACAGACCTTTCTGACCTTTTTCTCCATCCCTTTTGCTCCTTCCTCCTTCAGCTCTCTATAGAGATCAAGATGACACATAACCCAAGATACAATAATCTATTGAACAGTAAACAGAAATGATTGTGTTTTTAAGGCCTAAGTCATTGAGCGAGCTAGTTTCCCAAAGTCCAGAGAAATGCATATATCTTTTAAGTCAAATAAATTAATTTTCAAT